ACCAATCACACACACACACACACACACACACACACAGACACAGACACACACAGCACACACGCACGCACACGCACAGCACACACACACACACACACGCACAGCACACACACACACACACACAGCACACACACACACAATTTTCGTTCAGCGTCATCTTCGCATACGAAAATTTTTCATAAGAGAATAAGCGTTCATGTTTAATTAGCATTACTATACAAATATTTGTATCTATATATTATTTTATCGACCTAATTTGTCTAATTATAAGATATATGTCCTCGCGTTACTCGGAAAAAAAAAATATATATATATGTATAATTTGAGAAGTTTTTGTATTGAGAACGAAAATGGAGCGAGAAAAGTCTTCATAAATTTGTAAATGCGTTTATCTTTCTTTTTGTCGTTCTTGGAGTTAGATAAGTCGCAGAAAAATTTATATGTACATTATAAATACTTATATTAATTTTATTCCATAAAAAATACTTATATTAATTTTATATTAATATATTGTATATTAGTTTTACTCGTATTCATAAACATATTTATTTCATTAATAAAAATATTTTCTGTTAATAAAAAAATTGTCTACATTAATTTACAGCGAAGTAAACCAAAACAAAATCAAAAATCTACATCTATATGTCTTCCAATTAACGTCTATTTATTATCTATCAAAGCTCCATGAAATATCTATGATTGCTCCATATTACGTCCAAATTGCTCCATGGTATACTCCATATTACGTCCATACAATATCCATGAATACGTCTAATGGATGTCGAATGGATATATGAACTGCGGAACTGTGGATGTCTAGTAGACGTCTATAGGAGGTTTCGTGGACGTCTAATAGAGGTTTTGAATTTCCTTGATGGATGTCTAGTGGACATCCATTAGAGGTTTTTGTTCCGTGTGGGAAGTAACCCTTATAACTTTGGTAATAAAACATTTTTCAATAAAATACGTATTTTCTTCTAAAAACTCCTGATATATGATCGTTGTTACATCCTGTATATGTATAATTTATATAACATTTGTTATGAGAAGTTGTGTACGTGTGTGTGTGTGTGTGTGTTGAGAAGATTGGAATATATTATTTTATTACTTTATGTTTCTATTTGATAAATGCAGCTTTTTTTAATTAAATTTATAAAATACAATTTCTATGAAAGTCAATTTTAACAAAATTTCGATTTCACAAATATATGTTTATATGAATATATTCTTTTCGATATTTTATATTTTCTCTATTTACTATTTATTATTTGTTCAATAAAATCCATTTTATTATGAAAAAAATTAATAAAGATAGAATAATGCAAAATATATTAGTCTAATTGTGCAGTAAAAAATATTTTGATAAATTTAAAATATTTGTAGAAAAATTATTTATTTATTTCGGATATTTACAAAAAGCTGCATTTATAATATAAAAACATGAAGTAATAAAATTTTATCTATTCCAATCTTCTCAACATATATACAAATCCAAATTATACATGATACACATACAACATAATAACATGCATGTAAAGACAGACAAGAATGGGGAAAGAAAAAGAAAATAAAAGTTTAAATACCCCGGGACAAAAATTTGTGTATGGTTGTTCAAAAAGTCATTGCGTTTTTTTCCAATAGATAGCGCTGTCCACATTTATTTGTATCTGAGCGTGCCATGAATGTCAAATGTTTATGCACATTTTGTTGTTGACACTTAACCTAAAAACCAAAAAAAAAGTTGACGCAATTTAGTCGAGTTTTGTGCTTGCAATTGTAGTTTAAACATGGAGAATTTTGAAGAGCATATTCGCCATATTTTGCTTTATTACTTTAAAAAAGGGAAGAAAGCAACTGAAGCAAGGGAAGAGTTGCGTCAAGTTTACGGCAGAAATGTCATTGAAAAACGTCAGTGCCAGAACTGGTTCGCCCGATTCCGTGGTGGTGATTTTTCGGTTAAAGACGCTCATCGCTCCGGTAGGCCTTCCGAGATTGACGACGATAAAATCAAGGCATTGGTGCAAGCAAATAAGCATTCAACGGTTCGGGAGCTTGCTACCGCTCTAAAAGTGTCCATTGGAAGTGTTCATGGACATTTGAAATCGCTTGGTTTCGTGAAGAAGCTCGATATTTGGGTACCGCATGAGTTGAAAGAAATTCATCTGACAAAGCGTATGAACGTCTGCGATCAACTCACCAAACGCGAAGAAAACGATTCGTTCTTGAAGCGTATGATCACGGGCGACGAAAAATGGATTGTCTACAACAATGTGAGCCGAAAAAGGAGTTGGAGTAAGCGAGATGAAGCACCGGAAAGGCAAGCAAAGGCGGACATCCACCAAAAGAAGGTGATGCTGTTAATCTGGTGGGATTGGAAGGGACCAGTCTTCTATGAGCTGCTTCCACAGAATAAAACGATCAATTCCGATGTCTACTGTGAGCAGCTACAGAAATTAAGTGATGCCATCGCACAGAAACGTCCCGAGCTGATCAATCGTAAGGGTGTGGTGTTTCACCACGACAATGCGAGACCACACACAAATTTGGTCACTCGGCAAAAATTATTGCAGCTTGGTTGGGATGTGTTGCCACATCCACCATATAGCCCAGACCTTGCGCCATCAGACTTCCATCTATTTCGCTCCTTGCAAAACTCCTTGAACGGTAAAACGTTTGCTTCTGAAGACCTCATCAAACAGCACCTTGACAAGTTTCTCGCAGAGAAAGATAGGAAGTTTTATGAACGCGGTATTATGAAATTGCCCGAGAGATGGCAAAAGGTCATTGAACAAAACGGCCAATATATTATTGATTAATGTTCATTACGTATATTAAATAAACGCACCTGAAAATCAAATGAAAAAAACGCAATAACTTTTTGAACAACCAATATTATAATATATAATATAACATTATATAGAAATATATAAAAGTATACGTATAATCGCAGAATTATATTATGAAATATGTCTATACATAATTAAGTAAAAGTGCTTGTTATATATAATTATATAAATTTATATATATATATATATATATATATATATACAGATATGAAAGAACTTACGAGTAACGTATGATGGCTCAATGCAAGAATATTTAATCACGTAAAAAACTTGAGTTCAAATATATCAATATCAATTTTTTTATAATATATTAGAATATAGAAAATCATAGAAATATATTTTTTATATAGGCGATAAACTTAAAAATTTGATATTGAAAATATTTTAATCATTTTACAACTACACACACTATAAATATATAAATGCAAAATACTTCCGTAAATAAATTTCAATAAATCAATTGCACACATGCACACAGCTGGTATGTAGATTTTTATTAAATTTATTTTCTGAATTATTTTACACTTATATATATGTAGTAAAAATATTTTCAATATATTAAAAAATTTTTAAATCGCCGAAATATATTTTATTATTTTTCTATATTCCAATATATATATATATATATATTGTATTATAAAAAAATTGATATTGATATATTTGAACTCTAATTTACTGGATGATATTGTTACGTCCCTGATCTTTCATCCCCTGAATATCATCCCTTGTGTCGTGGAGCTTCATCGTTAAGGGGGGTTGTTTACTGACAACCGCCCGGTGGTTGTTTTCAGGCTCCATGACAGTTTTGGTCTAGCTGTCATCTCGTACGGACGTGACTTGACCAGAGAGCAATCTTCTTTCTTTTGCGTGTACATTAGTCATTGTATTTCATCATTGTATAAAGGATCATTTCTTCATAAGAGAGTGTATTTATTTCGCGAGCCGCGAGTGAGTGAGAGTGTGTGCGAGAGACGTCTTTTGCGAGAAAGAACGTCCGGAGGACGTAACATTTTGGGGGCTCGTCCGGGATCGGATCGAAGGAATATCTCACCGCAGCGGAACGGAACGTCGAGAATGATACATTCCCCGAGGATTAAAGACGTCTCTCGCACACACTCTCACTCACTCGCGGCTCGCGAAATAAATACACTCTCTTATGAAGAAATGATCCTTTATACAATGATGAAATACAATGACTAATGTACACGCGAAAGAAAGAAGATTGCTCTCTGGTCAAGTCACGTCCGTACGAGATGACAGCTAGACCAAAACTGTCATGGAGCCTGAAAACAACCACCGGGCGGTTGTCAATAAACAACCCCCCTTAACGATGAAGCTCCACGACACAAGGGATGATATTCAGGGGATGAAAGATCAGGGACGTAACAATATACTGAACATCCTTGCATTGATTATATATTACTCAACGGTACGTTTTTTCACGTTATAAGTTATTGGAGCAAATTATACAATAGCATCAATAATCAAAAAGAAATCAAGAATAATCAACATATCCCTTATATAATATATATATATATATATATATATATATATATATACGCACATATGTGCATAAGGATATATAAAATTTATAAAAAGTAGGTACTTATTAGCCTTGCTACGCTACTGCCTTCTGCTACGGAAGGCCAGAAAGCATTTTCAGGCGGCATCTCGCGTATACCGGCACGGTAGAGGAACAAGGAGAACACGTGATTATCGGTCCTTGTCTCTCTACGGTGCGTCCGCGTGAGCAATGCAATGCTGTATGTACGTGTACAGACATGCACCATTGCATAAAACCCGAGAATTGGTTTCTCGGCGTTGGCAACACTGAAATCGGAGTTTCGCGTTGTCACCGCGCGAGGTCTCCAACATCAATTCGGAGTTTGGCCGACCGACCTGTCGACCCTTAAGGTGCCTACTGATGGACGCGGCAAGTTGCCGCGCGCGGCAGTTCAGAAAGAACTAGATCTAGGGGCTTCTGAATCACTCCTGCGTTACCGCAAGTGAAGTTGGAATAATCCAACTTCACTTGCGGCAACGCGGGAGGGTTATTTGTGCATATTTCAAAATAAAATTGAAACGATGGCAGGAGTAAATGTGGAGATTCCAAAGGTTAGTGTATGTTATTATATCCAAATATAATATAAGTTTAATATAAAAAAATATAAAAAAAGCAATCGCGAAGGTAATATATATGATTGTGCATAATTCAAGATTGGAGGTTAAGTGTATGTTTTGGTCGTTTCGGAAGAGAAAAACGTACCGTAACATGTGCGTACGAATCTATTTCAATTCTTATAAACATTTATGACTTGGAACCGAACTTTAGAATGACACATCGGGTGATATAATTGATTTTTTTTTTATGACAGAAAGTATACACATGCGGATTATGCGAAATAATTCTTGGGGACCTTGAGGATGAAGAAACATGGTCCCATGAATGTTTTGCAAATTATTCAGAGATTGTTTTTGATGTGAATAGCTTGTATTTATATCCCAAATGTGGTGGTAGTAAAATAAAAAAGGTGAAAGTGACCGATATAATACTATTTGAGCGAATGTAACAATTTAATATCTTTGTAGAAGATGGAAGCAGTCGCCGGCAAGCGGAAGGTCTCGGGTTCGATTCCCGATTCAGCCGACTTTCGGACCATATTTTCTCTCTTTTTTTTACAGGGGATGTTAAGAGAAGGAACAAGGGGAATTTCTGAGATCCCAACCATAGGATTCAAATTCCTCAGTTTCCAAAAATTTCTAAATATTAATTTGTCGCAATAACATCGCGTTGGCTCTTAGTCGAGATGAAGATGGAGTTTTTTAAAAAATAGGAGAGCTGACTGACAATATTCTTATTAATGTTTGTTGCGTTTAGACCAGGTACGACGCCTTGGTGGGGGGTGGGGGGGTTATAAACATTGAGAGAAATATTGATTTGTAAGTGTATGAATAGCTCAGCTGGAAGAGCAGTCGCCCGGCAAGCGGAAGGTCTCGGGTTCGATTCCGATTCAGCCGACTTTCGGACCAATATTTTTCTCGTTTTTTTCTTACAGGGGATGTTAAGAGAAGGAACAGGGGAATTTCTGAGATCCAACCATAGATTCAAATTCCTCAGTTTCCAAAAATTTCTAAATATTTAATTGTCGTAAAAAAAAATTGTAAAAAATAGCATTCGATTTTTTTATCCATTCTAATACCATCCTATTTATCAATGTCTTTTTACTATTTTGATGTATTTTATGT